ACTACTCTCGGGCCTCCCATCCAGCTCCATCAAACCCCTTTAAATGATTCAGAATGAAGCAGCACATCTCGTCTTCAAAAGAAAGAGCCCAAAAGAACCCATCTCGCACCCCTCTTCAACTCCCTCCAATGGTTTCCTGTAGCCACTCACATCAAATTCAAGGCCTTGGTGCTCACGTACAAGCCTTTGTCTGGAACAGCACCCCCCCCTACCTCAACACTCTCCTTCTGAGATGCTTTTCAGCTCACCACAGCTATAAAGAGTGGTTATTTGAGTTATAAATAATAGTTATTTGAGTTATGATTATCCACTGAAAGTTCTGACACTACAAACCGGCACAATGCAAATATATTTATATTTCCTCAAATTGTTGTAAATGAAAAAGCTAAAAGTAGCAGTGGATTGAAAGCCTAGATGGATCCGTTATTGAGACTGCAGGTCAGAGTGATGGCTGCATTTTGGGAGAGCCCAGACTAAGCAGATTTGGAAGGGATTAACACACTTGTTGCAGCTCACACAGCGACCTATGATTAAATGAGGATTGGCCAATGTGGCTGTGTTCCCAGCGAGTTATAAAACCCAGCTTCTGGAGCTAAGGCATGGTGCCAGGGAGCCAATATATTGCACTGTGGAACCTTTGAGAGGAGAGAATTACCTGAAAGGCATTCAATTAAATTTCCCTCTCTGATTCTGTCAGCCTGTCTTGTATTTGTCGATCCAATAGTCACATCAGAGTACACTTGTGTGTGTAGCTGAGAAAAATCTAGAAAATGCAGTTAGGTGAAATTGGTTGCTTTAGACATGTCAAGGCTGTAGTTTCTACGTTGTATTTCTGAAGATGTTTCAAATTACTCAGTCTCTATGTGGTTAATGCATATAGCCTGCATATTGAATAGACACCAAAAGCCCTATTGCTTCTGTGCACACATACAGCATAAACCTGATGATTTTTATAAATACTTCTTATTTGCAGCTTTTCGAAACAAACTACTGTGTCTGTAAAAGACTAAGAAATTCTGTGAAGCACTGTAAAGATGCATTAACAATAACAGTAAATTAATAAATAATAAAATGCAATTTAAAAATGTACTATAAAGAAGAGTAAACTGCAAAGCACTACACAATTCAATATTTGTTGGAACCGCTCTGCCTTTAAAACTGCATCAGTGATCTTGTGTATACTGTCAGGTGGTTTTATGAGGAAACTGGCTGGTATGGTTTTCCAAGCATTTTAAAGAATTTGCCAAGGTTCTTCTGGAGATTTTGTTTCTTGCACTTGCTTCTGTTTTTGCAAGTAAAGACATCAGTATGTATTGTTTTGTGCCTGGTACTCACTGTGGTTTGGTCAATTTATCAATTTATAAATTTTTTGACATGCGTTTTGTTGTTGTTGTTGTTGTTGTTGTTGTTGTTGTTGTTGTTGTTATTCTGTCTCTCACTGTTCAAATAAACCTACCATTAAAATTATAGACTGATCATTTCTTTGTCAGTGGGGAAACGTACAAAATCAGCAGGGGATCAAATACTTTTTCCCCTCACTGTGTGTATATATATATATATATATATATATATATATATATATATATATATATATATATATATATATATATATATATATATATATATATATATATATATATATATATATATATATATATATATATATATATGTATATATATATATATATATATATAGATATTTTTATAAGCCCTCTTTGTTAGACTGATGTTTTAGGCTGATGCCCGGTAGTGATACAATATCTATGCAGGGTGTTTTTTGTTGTTGTTTGGAGTATTTAATTAATGCTTTTACATCCTTTTTAGAATAATTTCAGAAACTATGTTTTTATATATTCTTCACTAAATATGTCAACATTTGTAGTGATTTTTCTTCTTTCATAATTAAACAAAAATGTATTTCAATTGATTTTCTAGCTTAATAAAGATACCATTTGAGGTTGAGTGTTGTTTTTCAGACTTGACACAAAAGCATAAACACTAAATAATATATTTAGGCCATGATTGAAAACTTTAAGGCCATTTAATTACTTTACACAAGATACCCAATTTGTGGTCATGAATTTTGTAACCACCCACAGCTTAACATAATGTGGAAATTTCATACTTTTTAATAATTATTGCTTTGAGAAAAGTCTTGAAACGTGCAGGATTATTCGATGTGTTGACAAAATTTTCACTGAAACAGGAAATCAGGGCATGAGATATTGAGTGGCTCATCCCCCTTTTTAAATAGCCAATAGTGTTTAGCTTACCTCACAGCCTGGACTAAGCCGTACTTGACAAGAAAATTTTATTGAATAAATTCTCTCGCTCAACAACATGAACTTCAGCAAGGCAATTTTTATAATGTTGGGGCGGGACAGTTCGGATTCTACGGCTTTTCTACGGATTCTACGGATTCTACGACAATCGGCTTTTGATTGGACAGAAAAGCGGAAGAACAGAATGATGTCACCAAAATTTTTATCCTTATTGGTGGTAGAGAGACAGAGACTGTAAATTTTGAATGCATATATCTTCTAAATGCGAAGAATTTTGTCATTGTTTTGGAGCACACTACCTTATAGATAACCTTAAGGCTAACATGTTCATACTAAAAGCCACAAAGCTTACATTTTGATTTCATGGAGACTTTAAGGTGACGCAGGGTAACGGTAAATCTATGTTGCAGCATCGTCTTTACATAAGTGGAATATTATGAGTCATCTCCATGCTTACGTTCCTGCAGCCATAATGGTCTAAATCATTTGAATTCTCTGTCGCTCAGTTTAAAATACAATAGTTACCAGGTAATTATATTGTGGCCAAAATTAGATCTCTAGAAATGCTACCTGTGGCATTAATATATTCATCCATGGCAACAAGTAAATTAACTAGTCAATTGAGAAATCAGAGGGTTTGAAAAGGTCTACATGAAGTGGCCTAAAGTACAAGTTGCCAAGCACTCCGCCAGACCCCAGCTCTCACATCCAGCCTGTGGAGAGCCAAAAGAGGCTGATTCTGAGCTGTGGCACTTCATCAAAGCCCAGGTTTACCAGACACAGGAGAAAGAGAAGGGGATACTGGAAGGAGGTTGCCTCAGGGAGGGTGTATAGTTCAGCTCCACTGGCAAGACTCCATTCAGCATGAGCTTTCAGCACACCATGCTTTCCCTGTCATAAGTGCATATGAGGACTAAAAGTAAAAACGAGTCCCTGCCTACTCTCAAGCTCAGCACACTGCCATCGCTTTATATGTTTGCAGTCTGCCTTCCATGGAGTGAGGGTAGACTTAAGGATCAACAAAGCAGGGAAAATGGATGAAGGACAGCAGAGTAATTTTAAGCTATGATTTGAGAGAAAAATATAGAAGTTGGCATTAGTTGTAGTTTAAAGCCACTTTTGGCATGATAGATAACACTAGGTCAAGAGAAAGTTGTCCGCCCTGAAGTTCTTATAATGCTTAAACATAATATTTTGACGAATGTACTGAAACAACTTCTGAAATGTGGACACTAAATATTCAATTGATTTATTCTGTTGGAAAACTGTGTATTAAATATTTTTTATACTACAGCATTGCTGAAATCTCCATTCCGATTGCTCAGAAGGTGTTGATTAATTTTCTACAACAATTTAAGAAGAATTACATTTCCTTTTTATTCCAAGACATAAAAAGAGAGGCTGGTGTTATGAAGGAATAAATGTTTACCATTGCTATAACGGACAACTAAATTGGAACTAAATTGTTGTGCATCCATTCCACAACATTACTGCGTAACTAGGAATGGATAAAAAGTCATCTGTTTTTCATCGATAAAAAATAAAGTGTTACTTATCAACAGTAATGCTGCTTTGTATCATACCACCCTGTCGTTGGTTGCTTTCATATACAGTAACCTATCTCTTCATATTTTATTCCTTACTTATTAGATTTTACTTGAAGGAAGGTGGTTAAGGTATAATTTGGCATTACTCGTGTGACCACTGGAAATAATGGAGAGCTCATGTTCCTTTAATGTTCTCACCTGAACCATAAACAAGAGTTCATTTTATAGTTACAATACAAGATGCTTTTTTTTAATGCTTTTGACTTTTCATACATTTAATATATGGAACAAAAATGTTGTATATAGCATCAGATATCAGTTCACAGCTTTTGCACAAGCCAGTGCTGTAGAAATTCCGTCCTGCATGAAAGAAATCAAGTAGCAAAGACTGAGAGCATGTCGCTTTTTTTTGTTCAGTACCATTATGTGCTGTTTACAGACTCTCTGCACCCAATTACACAAACCGCCCCTCCTTCGGCAATAGGCTGGGAACATCAGGTTAAAAATCTGGGGCCTCACATCATTTATGACAAATGGCTTTCTCACCGTCAGCTTGACAGTAGTATTTTCTTTTCTATTACCGTTTATCATTGACTTCCAGTGTGATGAACTGCAAAGCAGGGTGCCGTATTTGTCACATCACTCTTTATAAGTGACACAGAGACTCTGTCTCTGGCACTAGATTTGATTTAGCAGATGACGGCAGCGAAAAGCATGGTGAGTCTAGCACGGCTTATTGTACGGGGGCTGTGGTAATGAAGCTACTAATAAGTTAAAGCTAGGTGCACGATTGCAGAGCCTGAGCATCCATGCACGACTATACATTTACTTGCAATATTACAATGCAAATATAATTACTTGTTTAGCACCAACATCACGAAGCTGTCTAGCAGCCAGAGACAGACACGTTGGACAAGCGGAGTTAAAGATGCACAGATGATAACAACACTAAATGTGGAAGAGTAAATAGTATTCAAATGCACAAAGACAAAGACAGAATTAAATTAAGCATCTCAGTTACAGCGGTGCAGACAATAACACTAAAGATGGCTGTTTTACATTTATGGCATTTGGCAGACATCCTTATCCAGAGTGACTTACATTTATCTTATTTATACAAATGAGCAGTTGACAGTTAAGGGCCTTGCTCAAGGGCCGAGTGATGGCAGCTTGGCAGTGCTGGGATTTAAACTCACAACTTTCAATCAGTAGTCCAGTGTCTTAACCACTGAGCTACTACTGCCCAGTGTTTGGATGTCCTTCCACTTGCCAAAGAAAACCTGTTTATAATCAAATCTCAGTTACTGAACAGCCAATGACTTCACTTGATAATGATAGACACAGAGAACGAAATCAGTAATGACTCTGAAGCTCATACTCAAGATCCGTTCAACACACATAGCACTGCTTGGCTCTATAGTTTACAGGTACCTAACATGGGTTACAGGAAACTCCCCACAGGGGGGTTGGGGGGTATTTGTGGGAGAATTTTATGTGTGTTTGGTTGTTAACTGTGGATGGAGAAAAGCAAGATGTAGCAAGGGGTCAAAAACTGTACCTTGCACTAAACTGTATATGTCTGCTATTTATTTTTATTAAAAATAAATAGAAAATAAAAGCATCTTTGTACTAGATGAAGACGGGGTCGAGATCTCAAGTGCAAATGGCACAATATAGAGGTTTTTACAATGTTTACAGACAGAGACAAGGCTAAGGGTTTTTAAATAGCGACAACGTTTGTGAAGAAGCAGCTTAAGTGACTTATTCAGACTTGTCACTTGCTCTGGCAGTCTGGCAGGTGGCATGAGGTTTACTGGCATCGGTGTGCTGCTAAAAGCACTGCTGCTCTCAGTGTCAGGTAATCCCACCGATTCATCTCTTTACCTACAAGTTAAGGACCATGCCTGTCTCTCCTCCTCTTCCTTCATGTATCTCTATCTCTCAGACAACAGACACAACTCATACATACCCGAACAGGCACACAGCCATGCCAGATGTTATTATTTGCATAGGCCAACACCGAAATCCCTGTGCTTACACAAAGTGTAAGGATATAAAAGTTAACATATTTGTATGTTAATCTTTGAGATTCCAAGACTGATAACAAGAAAATCCAAGCAGGGGAGAAAGAAAAAATAGAATTTTTCACAAAAGCCCTGCATGTGTCAGTGGAGATGACTTGGGTTATTGGTTTTTGCTTACAGACGTTCAACAAGCAACAGTAATAAAACATCTATACATCAATTGTCTGTACCGCTTATCCTACACAGGGTCGTGGGGAGCCTGGAGCATATGCACAAGGCATGGGACACCGTGGACAGGGTGCCAGCCTATCGCAGGGCACAATCGGACACACATTCACACACTACGAACAATTTGGAAATCATCCTACAACACGTCTTTGGACTGGGGGAGGAAACCAGAGTACCCAAAGCACAGGGAGCACACAGGGTGGAGGCGGGATTCATTCCTTCCTTTCTTTTTTCATGCAAAGCGATTGCAGTTCTGTCTATTTGGTTTCAGTTGACTCACAAGACCAAGGTTTGTGAATTCACAGGTCAAAGTTCACCTAAATATCCGATACCAGAATCAAATGCATGTTGTTCACATTCCATGTCCTTTCCCTTTCAGTGAACTGGCTTTTCCACTGATTGTATTTATTCACATTTGGTTTGACTGCTGCGTAAAAATATTTTTCTCCCATATTAAAAATCGTAAATGCTACAGCTAAACCATGAATTATGGCACCTCTTTGTTTCTGCCAACTAGGCAAATTTACTGTTAGAATATTTACAATCTTCCTGCACAAAAGGTTTACAGTCTGTATTTACATGTAAACACTGTATGAATAAGCGAGAGCATGTCGAAAGCAGTGTTACTGAATGACCTGTATGTCCACTTACACAAATGTTAAAACGTTTACATAAATATTGGCTATAAATATAAAGACTGTGCTGTTTAGGATTTCTTTTTTTTCACCTCATGGAATCAACCATTGGAAAACAACTATGATGCAAAATGCCATATCGTGGCTGTTCTGGGATTTTAACTTTCACAACATTCCAATAACTATGTTTACATTTATGGCATTTTTCAGACACCCTTATAGAGAGCGACTTACATTTATCTCATTTATACAGCTGAGCTGTTGAGAGTTAACGGCCTTGCTCGAGGGCCCAGCAGCGGCAGCTTGGCAGTGCTGTGATTTGAACTCATGACCTTCTGAACAGAAGTCTTAAACACTGAGCAACTAAATAACTACCTCTTTGCCAAATGTAGTTAATCAGCCCAAAGAATGTTGCATCACATTTTTATGATTCTAGCCATCATATAAGGAGCGCTCATAGCTGCCACTTTAGCAATGTGCTAGCTACATGCCTAAATCCCACAAAACCTCAAACAGACTTGCTATACCAATATTACACATTTAGTGTGTTCATATTTCAAGAAAATATCAGTTCAAAAGGTTGTATCTCCATTTTAAGATATCTTACACAGTGTGTAAGATACTTATAGTGTTGCGCAAGTACTCACCCCCTTGAACTTTTCCACATTTTGTATTATTACAACCTGGAACTGAAATGGATTTAACTAAGCCATGAATCTATGCAAAAAAGCACATTATTTTAAAATGGGGGTGATCAAAACAGTTTGAAAAATTATTTATAAAAAGTTGAGATTGTTGGTAAAAAAAAAAAAGAAAAAAGTTGTGAAGTATTCACCCTTGCTGCTCCCATAATTAGCTGAATAGAGCCGACATCTATCCAATTATAACAATGATCTCAATATAAATAGTCCTGTTCCAGGAGATCCTAAAGCTGCTTAAAGAATATATCTAGACAAACAGTCTAAGTATCAAAACACATGAAAGAACAAAGTTCTGGAAAAGTAAGAAAGATCTTTTAAAAATCTCAGACTCTGAACCTCCATCTGAACATAACATCATTCAATCCATTATTATTAAAAATGGAAAGAATATGGCACAACCGCAGCTCTGCCTACCAACAATCAGTGCCTGGGTAAAGAAGGTGTTAGTCAAAGAAGTTAGAGACATAGACTCATGGCATATAATCCCAATTAAGTCCATTTCTGTTCCGGATTTTAATACTACAACATGTGGATAGTTCATGAATACCAATACAAGGCACAGTAAATTTTCTATAATCATTTCTATGCCTATATTTTCACCATATTCATGCCTCCAACCTATTCCCTGAACTTTCAGATCCTCTTAGCATCTTGTTGACCCTCCAACCCCAAATTCTTCCTGATGCAGCTGTTATAATTACCAGATTGCTTGACCAGATGTCACACACTGCATTTCACAAATAACATGACCATGAAGCACTTTTCTTACTTATTTATCTGTTGATCTGTCTTTATATTTTCAATTGCTAGTGTATTGCTGGGTACCTTTCATTTTTTTGACATCTTAGAATGCTATTCCTATGGTGACAAAAATTGTGAAGTAGAAGTATTTTCCTTTTTTTCCCCATTTAAGAAGTCTGGCTGATGCAAGCTATTGCACTCATCTGTATTTTCTAATGCTACAAAAATTTACAAAAGGCTGTTGCAGAGCTCAAAGCGCTACTAACAGCTGTGTTGAGTCTGGAATCATTTTCTTCTTCTGAAAGTTTTGCTTAGATTGACATCAGACTGAGGCAGGAAGTGTAGCTTTCAACTGTTCAAATAGGTTGAACTCAAAGTTAACACAATGGCAGACTCAGAAGAAACGTCTCTGTCACGTCTGAGCCAGAATTCACTGATAAATCAGTTGGTGGCAGAGCAACAGAACCCACAAGCTTCTCCCTGTAAAGAACCTGGTGGTTAGCTTTGGGAAATGGTAAGCGGTGCTGAAGGAGATGCAGAGCACTTCTGATGTGGGGAGCGGTGCCTGATGCCTGCTCTAGATGATTTCTTTGTTAACATGAAAGACACCACAGCCGAAAACAAATGTGATTGTATAACCGATGATGCTGACATGTCTGCTCTATTAAACATCTGTATTCTGGAGATGTTTTTGTTTTTTCATCCTAAAGCTAAACTGGAAGAAGCAACCAGACCGACCTTGAAGCTTTCAGGTGAGTATATCTGTTAAATACACTTTTCTGCTATTCAACAAGCTTCCTCTTACAGTATAGATATTTGACAGAAAGCGCCTTATTCGGTTTTGTCAGTCCATAGAGGTTTTTTGTGATTGCTGCAGCCAAATATGATCGATTTTTCTGGATTTTTTATTTATTTTTTGCCAAAAAATTGTGATGCAATCTGCTGAGGTTTTTTTTCTGTGCGATTTGTTGTGGAAAACTACTTGAATTGGCGAAATTGCAATTGCACAAAATTGTTTTGAATTAGTCTTTCACATTAGTAAATTACACCTTTTAGCTGTACTCATGTTCGACGCACAGGAACCCAGCGGGCTTTAGTTGAAGGTGCATTGTGATGACTTCACATGAGGTGTCTTGGCCCAAATCTGCAGAAAATCTGCTGTAATTTAGAAAAATTGCAATTTCCTCCAAATATTGTGAAGTTTGCTTGATTTTGCATTTATTTCTGCGATCGCAAAATCACTAAACCCTGTAGGGACTGATTTGTCAAACTGTTTTGCTTTGAGAATTGCACATGCACATGACACGGTTCAACTGCAGTGAGAAATGATTCGATCCTGAATCAACCCAAGTACAGGAAGTGAACCAAGCATGTCGTGTGTTCTGGGTTGAGGATGACATTTTTATGTAAATGTGAGCTGAGGACAGAGCTAAGTGATATGTAAATGAGATGTGTTCTGGACTGACAAACAAAAAGGGAATATAAGCGGTGAATGCAACACACAAAGTGAGTCATTTCTATAATTACCCAGTAATATATTGTGTACTGGCTCTGTGTTCTCTAAGCTTGGGTGATTTTTCTGATTTCTAAACGCACTTGGCAATGGTTTGTTTGCTTTTTCTTTTTCTTTTTTGTTCATCATATTTCTGACCAATGAATGAAGGAGTTTTACACATGCATTTTCATCCCTACATTAAGGTAGGATGAAATGACAATATAATGTCAATATCATAATAAATTAGCTTCTCAGATATCATCTATATTATGATATTTCGAACTTTAAAACTTTAACGTGTATATTTTCATTGTTGTAATGTAGGGTTTTTTTTGTAGACATTAAATAAAACTATCATCGAACTCAGTTTAACAATTCTTAATGTTTTGCAGTTTTAATGGACCACTGTTTCTCCTGTGA